ACATCAACTGTTTCAGTTAAGTCAACTCGACTACTCGAAATGAAGCATGGTAAACTCGCATTTCTAAATCTGATTGCTTCAACAACTGTGCGTTGTGTGAACAATCTGGTAACAGAGCTCGGTCATGAGATGGATGGTCAGTTGAAGTAGGAAGTTTGCATCACATGTCAGGCGAAGTGGGCATCATCTGCCGCTCGAAACGTCCAGAATGCTGGTACTTGCTTCTGGAAGATTCACCTTCCCCGAGCAAGACTTCATCCCAGACAAAATTTAGCCTCTACACCGAGGTCGCTTCCAAAGAAATTATCGAGCTCGTGGCTGGAATTGACCAGCACAGATGTTATTTCCAACATGTTCCACGATGGGACAACACGGAGGAAATGGCCTGCTGCTATTGAGAGATAACTGATAGGACGTAAGTAAGCCATTAAGTTTAATTGTCAGGACAGTTAATACTATTATAAAGACAAGTGGGGAGCGGTACTAGTTTCGGATGAGACTGATTATCTAAGAGAAAATTTTCGAAGATGATAAAACAGAAGAAAGTATAATTAGGGACCTGACAGAAGGCCTTAAGGTCAGACTTAAGGGTCTTCTGCAACAATGCGTCAACAGAACTGGAAAAGTGAAAAATGAACGCAATTCTCCCGCGAGATGTAAGAACTCCAAACGTGTATGGTCTGCTCAGAATTCATGAGCAATGTATCCCACTTGGGATTATTGTAAATAATAGGAGTAGCGTGAAGTTTTCGGTAAGGGATTCCTACGACTTTATAAAGTTACTTGACGATCAGACGATAAAGAAAGAGGAGATTTGCTAGTTAGTTTCGATTTATGGTCTATGTACAGTAATCTTCCGATAAGGAAGGCAATGAAGTTCTTAGGGTAAGCCTTAGATCAACATGCTGAGATAACAAAAGATAAAAAGTTGGACCTTCATTCAATGATTAGATTAATTAATTTACCTTCAATGGTAAATTGTATGAACAAGCACGGGCTTGGCTATGGGATCTTCTATAGCCCCTATTTTAACCAATAACTACATATCCCAATTAGGCAATCCTGGTTGCTAAGTCATTAGTTCACTAGATGGATGAGTACTTTGCTGTTTGGCAACACGACAAGGATAGTAGATGGTTGACCATATTACCGCAACTTGGTCATGTTGGCAATATCACCTAGAGGAACCCAACTTGTCCGGAGTCCTTAGTATGCGTGATCATTTCCAGAGTCGGGCCGTGGACTTGGTATATTCCAAAACGTTTCGCCGGCACCGTAATCGGCATCATCAGTGAGTGTTGCCATTCTCAGCGCCAAACCACAATTCGTCAAAGACACAAGTGAGGTTGATCCTTATACCAATTATCTGCTAAACCGTTGTGGTATCTCTCCTGTCCTGGAGTATTCACTTATCCTATATCCTCGCTGGTTCTCACAACCCCATACTGTGCCAAAAATGTTGATCTAAGGCTGAGGTTTAATCCGCTATCCTCTCCCCTCGGGTCTTATCAGAGTCACCCTCTTGCTCCGTAGGATCTTTCCCTTTTCTACCTGTTTCGGTGAGTTCACAGCAAAGATGTTCCAGTAAAACCAATTAACAGCTGGTCAAAAGGAATCGGCCATCGTCTTCTGGTGGGGCCGACTTTAGAATCTCTTCGCTCAAAATGGTAGTTACCTCTGCTATGTGACCTATTGGCAGCCGGGTTGTGGTAACTTGTTGGTATTCAACATGGTTTAGAGTTCCGTTATGGATGCTAATGGGACGCAGAAGAGATGCAAATAGGAGTCCAATCTGGATGAGAATACCGTTGAGGAGATAGGGCAAAGTGAAATTTATTTGCATCTCGAGGCGTTCTCGCATCATCCTAAGAAAACTCAGTTGTCAGTCCTTCATCATCTTGGTCGAATACAGCTCAGAAATCTAAATTCCAAGCCATGAAAGGATTATCCCTCGTGAAATGTGAAGTATCAAGTTTATAGTGCTACCAATCCTCGTGTAATTTTCCAAGAAGCGCTAGTTAACCTGCTTAAAAGACTCCTCTTATTCAATAAATTTCACATTATCTTGCAATACAGGATAGACAACGGTTCACAAAGTGCCTAGTCTTCTCCATAATACCGGGCTGGGGCTCAAACTCTGTATCACATGGGTGTAGTGCTGTCCAGCCTCATGACAAGTATTACCTGCCGGAGAGTGATTCTCTTGAGTTGTTTTACGAGACGTAAGCCTTTCTCCCTTAAACTCGAGAGTCTACCGGGTCCTAGAATAAATAAACTATTTGGTTTACTTTTGCTCAAACATCATGGATGCTATCTTAGGCTTAAAATATCTTTAACATATGAATAGTATCCAAGGCGAACACTGTACCTTTGTAAAGCGGAACGATTGATGGTTTAGTTTTCCACAATAAAATGAGTACAAGGCCTCTCGATGTCAATAAATTTGACTTAGATTGGCCTCTCAGAAGCTGTTATCATCCGAGAAGAACCCGCAATTTCGACTTCGCCTTATTGTTCTCGTCACCTCCTCAACTTCCCTAACGGGACTTTAAACCATGTCCTTCAGTAATGTGATTTATTAGTTCTATTTCGTTTATAGGGATAAAGGACTGGTAGTTGAATTTTCTTACAATCATACAAGCAGACTTCATACTTCCATTGAATTTCGAATAGCCTTGCTTTCTAACAGTTAGTCTCATCCAGGGCGGACCGCAGTTTCGACCTCGCTAAGGTTTCATCAGCACCAAGTAAACCATTTATATGATTTATTGGCAGTCTTGAAAAGCTACTCATAAACGAAAAATAATTAATATAGTCGATTGCAATAGCAAAAATGAGATGAGGGAAATTCGCTTCTGAGCTGTAACCCAATGGCACTCGTGGCAGTGTTGCGTATCAGTTTTTATGTCGAGATTATACTCGGCACTGTCAGAACTCGAATTCGAGTTCCATTGGGGGTGCTGAAGAGGATGAGAATATCTTTTGGTAAAGCAAGATTATGTGAAATTGAAGGCCTATTCATATCATTGTGAGATATTTCAGCTACTAATCCTTGATGACATTAAACGAAATAGAGTGAATGCAACTCATATATATGAGCTACGGGTAGTCTCGAAAGGAAAGGAAAAAAAAGTGTTTTTCAGGTTCATGCCAAATGGCCAAGCTCCAGCTACACCGTCACGGATGTACAATTCCTAAATCGCATTTTATAATGGGACTTGTGTCAATAAGACCGACTTGCATTTACCCTTGAAAATGCCCATATTACTCTTTTCCAGAGGAGTAAGTTGACAAAAATGCATTCATTGGCTTTTACAAAAAAT